GTTTTTCAAATAATTCAAGTTAATAAACCACTTTAAAAACCTATTCATAAAAGACATACAGAAATTGTATTGGACGATATTACGAAAAGTATAATCCGAAGAACAGTTCATGGATTTTGTTTTAGGAACGAAATGTCCACGTTAAAGACTATTTAACGAGAAATTAATGCAAACGCAGATGATAGTTCAAATAAAATATCTATGCCGGTATTACAAAAAGAGGATTCCGTGAAATAGATTTTCGGTATGGAAAGAGGAAATACAGGCTTTTAATGGGGACTTTTAACCAGCTTAAAAGCACCTTCGGACAAAGGAAGACCCGTCATTATTACGCACATATTAAGTAATTCAGGTTTCTTAGAAGTTGGTTTAAATGCCTTTACCTATATCAAAACGGGCGATTATCATGAGGATATGAATTCGGAAGTGTTTGAAAAATGGTTTTCCTCTATACTGACTCTTGTAGAACCTGAATCGGTAATTATAATGGACAATGCACATTATCACAGCCGTATTATGGAAAAAATACCGACTTCTGCATCTCGAAAGGCAGATATAGTAGATTGGCTAGAAAGCAAAAATATAGAATTTGATGAATCCATGATAAAAGTTCAATTACTTGATGTAATTGTGATGTGAATTGAATCATATCGAGCTGATATGAGTATATAAAAAAAATTAGGTAGCGCAAAAAAACCATAACCTTCAAATTAAAAGATGTCAAATTATTATTAGAACAAATCATATAACCACTTCCAACTGACAGTCATGCATTAAACGTGCACAGAAAGAAAAAGATAAAATGTGGCATGTAGACACGCGTGTTGATGTTCTTATTGAGCATATTATTATTATTCCAGGAGAAGACAATAGTGATGGTGAATTAACATCTGGAAGTGGATCAGCATAAACAGATTTATTTTAAATAATAACTAATATAGTTCTAATGAATTTGTTTTTTGTTGCTGTTGATGTTTTACCATTCGGAAAGTACCTGTTCGATCTTTCGTCCTATGAGTTTATAATATTGTAAGTACTTACCTAATAACTTTATTATTATGGCAAGTTTGTTTCTCAAAATTCAGGTTAACATTAGGCTGTCGGGTCTATTATTATTTTCTGTAAAGCAGTTGGTATTTATATTTGAATATGAATTTTATTTTAAAAATATCGATAAGTACATAAGATCATTATTCCAATATCAGTACGTTTAAAGAAATCTAAGGGAAAAGGTTTCTTTCGAATTGGTCCTCACAATGCTTTCCCTTATTTTAAAAATGTACACGCCACCATTGAACTACACTCGTCTCTCGTTTCGTGCCCCTCCAGTCTCTATCATTTTAAAACGATACCCTGACAATCCTATTGAATTTGGACTATAGAGTAGTCTGAGCGTATGTACTGTCGGTGTGCGCGGACAGAGACGGAACGCAAGATTCGACTTGTCTATGAGCAGGTCACGTCATATATCGAATAACAAAGCTCTACTGCATATTGAAACAGTTCATATGATTTACGCGAGTTTACTCGTTAAGAGCAGTCAGCCTATAAACGAGTATACTCGTCAAGAGCAGTGAAAGGGTTAAATTACATAATTTGAGTAAATAACATTGAAATTAATAAGGCACTAGGTTGATGATAAATTATTACATTTTTTAGGGCAACGTACATATGTTTTTTCTTTCTCGAGCTGTAAATTTGTACGTTCCTTTAAAAAATATAATCCTTTATCATAGACCTAGTGTTTTATTAATTTCAATGTTAGTTACTCAAATTATGGCATTTTAAGGGTCATCTGGCCTGATTATGAGGCTAGTTCCAAATATATAGATGTTTTTCACTGAGGACGATCTGATAGGATCGAAAACCTTCTGAAAATTTACAAATCTATTTTGGATGATTTTTAAGAATTTTAATAATAAAATTTTATACTATTTTACAAAAAAACGTTTTTACTTCATTGTAAGCTTTTTTTAAGTCTAGAGTGATTTACTGCCAGACATATTTGTTTTAAGCATGCGTTTACCTTTCAGCTAATGAAACGATTTATCAAAATCTTCTTGACCTGATACATGTATTCTCATATCATTATTTCATGAGTTGATCTTTCTGATATTTCTCTCTAGCTTTTCATTCGGCTTGTGGGAAATCGGCCTCTAAATGTTTTACCTACACGGTAAGATTCTTGAGGGCATCTCATCAAAAAACGTGTCAGGAATCATGATCTTCATCATTGGTGCTACGGTCCTATTTCAGCCTCGACCTTCCTAAGCCTATTTCTCCATTCGGTTCTATTCTTTGCATCTAGTGTAAGTTTACCACGCCGAGTTTCCTGTTCCTTTTTTACTTATCTTTATCAATACCACATCCGTCCATATCTCAACTTTGGTCTATCTCTTCGTCTAATTCACTTGAGTTTCGCCAACAGATTAAGTTTTGCAGGGTAGCTTTCATTTACTCTGGCCAGATTTATATATCAACTAGAGGCATCTATTTTTTATTGCAGTAACTATCTTCCGTTTCTGCTTTTTCGTTGTTTATTGTATAGCTCGAAATTGTATCGACGACGCCAAGTTGCATTATTATTTATTTGGCCTAATATTTTTCTCTCGAACATTAATAGTTAATTTTTATCTGTATTAGAAAGCATCCATAAAAGCATTAAGACTGGGAGTATACAGATGCTGTTTCACTTGTTACACAATGCCTTCTAATGTGTAAGTCCATAATAATGTTACGAAAGTTCCTTAAGATTTATCCCACATAGACAAAGTCCCCTGACGAAAAAAGATATTCATCTCAGAACAGTAGTAGTATTTTGGGTTTTGAAGTTTATAGTGGTCATTAGTTATAGTAATATAGTTGGTGTTCAATAAAGTCGTGACAACGGTGGAATTCAAGAAACAACAAACAATTGTGAATAATTAATACGAGATCTACCGAATTTAATAAAGAAGTGGATACGTCCGGGCCCCTGCATGGTTTTTAAAAATAAAAGAAGATGAAGAAAAATATAGGCAAGAACAGAAAGATCTCGAAAAAATGAAGAAGTCACAATTGCAGATAACCAACAACCAATTTTATCCCAGATATTGAGCATATTGCAGAATCTTGAACAAAAATCTCAAAACAGAAGATGTTTTAATTGCAGAAGAATAAGTCATTTGCAAAATAAAGCCGATTCCAGGCAAAGATAGAAGAACCAAATAATGAAGTTAGAGGTCGCCCAGAATGATGTCAAGCCCGTTACATAGTCCTACTAGAAATACAAGCAAATATATGTCTCCAAGAAATAGATTTCCTACAAGTGACCACAGAAGTGAAAAAAATACTCTGGAATCTGAAATTGCACATCAGAGAGCAACTAAGATTAGCAAAAATAAAATAAAAAAGTTAAGAGAACAAGTTCAAAGTCAGTGTCAGCTTGAAGAAAAAGAGAATGTAACCTAAGAATTTAGTCTCCGGAGGACCACAGTTAAACAGGAAGAAGATAATTATCAGGCTTCCCTGGAAAACCTTACAAAGAGTCGAAAGGGAGATAACGACTTAAAATTTGTACGCAAGTATCTTCAAAATGGAGTAAGACCTATTTGACAGGAAATAAACCAAATACAGTGGAACCATAAAGGCGTATTGGGCTCAATGGGAATCCCTGTATCTATATAATGGTCTACTATTGTATCGAAAGTGGGAAAGTCTCGATGGAGTACGTACAGTTAAAAAAAGTTACATAAGTTAAACAAAATAACACATTCAAAGTGTGTTAAAAAAACTTCATAGCAGCCTTTCTGGAGCTTCTCTGGAGGACATTTTGGTGTCAAAATAACACTGGCCAGAGAGATTTTACTGGATCAACTGCCGCCGAGATGTAGAAGATTGGTGTAAGAAATGCGATTTATGTAACGGTAGAAAAGGCCCTAGAACAATAAATCGTGGTAAAATGGCACAATATCTTTCCGGAGAGCCGTTTGAAGGACTTGCCGTGGATATTCTCGGTCCACTTCTGATGACAGAGAGAGGAAACAACTACTTAATGGCCTGAAATTGTACTGTATTATACATAAAGACCAAATTGTCCCCAATAAATGGACCAAATGGAACTAGTGCTTCTGCCAAAACATCCTCTATATACCGGTGAGTATTCCGGGGGCCATTGATGAAAATAAGTTCAGTTCGAACTTCAAATGAGATTCTAGCCCAAAACATGACACATCACCGCCAAACTTTTTCCTTTGAGACATAAAAGCTTAGGCATATTTTTCATTTCTTCATCTCCAATCTCTCTCTCTCGGACATCGCCAGACTTCAAACAGTACAGCGATTCATCAGTAAAAAGAATTCGGCTCGAATCATGTATATCCCAGTGTTGATGTCGAGCAAAAATTAATCGATTCCTACAGTGTTTGGGTTGTAATTCGGGAACAACAGCCGGCCTTCTTGAATTAGTCCTCTTTCATTAAGGCGTCTTAGTTTCTTGCAGCAATTGCACGGGAATGATGATTTCTTAAAAGTTCCATCGCAATAAAACGATGATCTCTTTGCGAGCTAACTCTTCTACGACCGGAACCAGGTCGACGTGAGTATGTACCAGTCTCTATAAAGCGATGAAAAGCTCTCCGTACTGTAGTTCTCGGAATACCAAAGGTTTTGGATACATAAACTTGACTTCTTCTGTCATGTAGCAATGCAATAACTTGAGCAACATCTACTGAAGATAACACCATATCTTACTTATTCACTTAGCCAAGAGCCACGTTTGAGAAGATAAATGTTTTCAAATTAGAAGATAAACAGAAAACAACAACAACATTAACGTCAAAACTATCAAAAACAAGCAAACACATTCGCAATAAATAATTAAATTAAGACGCAGTATGAAACAATATTTATTTTCGGAAATTTATAGGGTGACCACTTACACTCGAATAACGATAAAATCTACTATAAAAACAAGAATAATATGATTAATATACTGATTAAATAATAAAACAGCATAATTTGTTAAGATGGCCAAATGACCAGTATAATTAATTCTCTTAAACTGCTGAATGATGGATTGAACACCTGGTAAAAAATTGACAAATATTTAAAGATAAATTATTATAAAATCAAAAAATCATTTTAAACACTCCATCACAACACATTTCATATACATATATAAAAAATATTTCCAAAAAATTCTTAATTGTAACTAGTCTTCTTCTTCTACTTCCATAATAGTTTGCTGTGTTAATCTCGTTCTATTCGTAATATCTTGCTTTGTATCCATATGCTGTACATCTAGTGCTACTGAATTTAGTTTCGCAGTAAACTTTATGATATGGTTGATTAGAAGTTTTTCTTTAATTATCTAAAATAAACGAAATTATTATATATGATAATAGACTTAACAGTAATAACAATGCAAGCAAAAAATGTATACAAGGATGGAAATCCAAGAAATGAACATACAGCAAATAAATCTTTCGATACAGCAAATGTTGAATACTCTATACGTGTCACAGTTTAAGACCGGGACAATTTAGACATTTTCTTTTTAATTTGCGTAAAGAGTTTTTAGCAAGGACTTTTTAACAAACTTAAGATCGAAGATCCTACTGAAGAGTAGTAGCAAATAAATAAAGATCATTTTATCGCGTCTAAATTAGGTAATGTCGTTTTAATATTGTAATTGTAATAATTGTAATTTTGAAAACATATTCAGTGCAAGTTGTGATTTAAACACGATAATATTTATAAATAAAAACGTGAATTCATGAGAGTATCGATGTGAGTAAGTTGCAATGTGTAACTTACTCACAAGAGTGCTATTTTAGTAAAACTTCATAAAGATTATTATCTACACGGAGCTATATTTGGCAATACAAGCGTTATTATAAGAGGTGGATATAGTGTACTCCCTCTATAACGAACACGGTTATTACGAGGTTTTGCTTATAACGAGGTACATTAGATGTCCCGTGAAATTTATATTGAACTATAACCCTCTATATCCAGGCAAATTTGGTTATAACGAGAGCAAATAAGATCGAAAAACGTGGTTTTTTACGTTTCTGACCTGGCCGTGGCTATAAATAAATACCCTGTTTAATTGCCGCCCGCAATAAACTTCTTCGGAAATTTACAATTTATGATTCACAAGTGTCATTGTAGAGGTATGACCATTCACACCTAATAATAAGAAGGTCCTAATAGACAACTGTATAATGCAACTGCTTCACATCTTTACAAAATATGATAGAATACTGGACAATTGAAAGCAGTCAACTTCTTCAAATTGCAAAAGCAATAGTTTGTTATCCTTGAAAATACGCCTTATACAGATTTACAGAATACAGATTTTTTGTTTTAACGTATATCATTGACAATAAAAGTAAACACAACTCTTTTTTGTTTTAATGTATTTCATTGACAATAAAAGTAGACAACTTTTTTTCAACAACGGCATTAATGTTGCTTGATATAATGAGATCGGCTTATAACGAGGTAATTAGTCTGTCATTTCAGTTCACGATATAGAGCGAGTCTACTGATTATATATATATATATATATATATATATATATATATATATATATATATATATATATATATATATATATATATATATATATATATATATATATATATATATATATATATATATATATATAACACTGTTTTTGATGGGTTGGAGTCAATAAAAGGGGCTATTTGTTGACTATTTTTTACTCGAGCTTTCAATTGTGATTACAATTTTTATCAAGAGCTTCTAAAAAATACAAAATGTCTTACAAAGTTGAACTAGAAATAAAAAATTTTTTGTTAACTCACCAAATAAAATTAGTTTTTTATATAAAACTACTGCTTACATAATAAATACAAAAAATATTAATAAAAAAATGTCTTATTCTAACAAATGTTTCTCTGAAAAATTTAGATGAATTTTCTTAAGAAAAAAAAATTGAAATTATAAACAAATATAGAATAGCTACAACCAGCCTAAAACGTCATAAATACTAACTTAAAAATTCTTATTTTTGACATATTGTCAAAAATAAAATTTTGTTTAAAAAATTCTTCTTTGTTTAGTAACAAAAAAGAAGAAGATTTATTCACCATTGATAGATGCCGGAAAAATGTAACAAATAAATGGAAAATTCAAAATGTGATATTTTACTGACTGCATAAATTAAATAGAAATTATATAATTATAAATTTTGCTTAAATTTTGAATTTCTGACCTTTTGTTTAAATTATTATCACTTTTGCTAATACAAACCATTTCCAAAAAAGTTCTTTTAAATTTATTACTTTCATTACATAAAATTTTAATATTATCAAAATCCATAATATGGTCTTTGTCTATTACATGCTCTGCCAAAGCACAAGATGGTTTCTTAATTCTACAATCACTCTTGTGAGAAATAATGCGATTAGAGAGATTTCTTCCAGTCTCACCAATATACTCAGCTTCACACTGAGTACAAACAATGCTGTATACTACATTTGTTTGATCTAATTTGTCTATAGGATATTTAGTTTTGGAATATAAAGATGAAATAGTTTTGATGTTCTTTGTTGCTATTTTTATATTGTCAATAACCTTTAATGTTTGTATTAATTTAGGAGTTAATGATGGTATAAAAGGTAGTGAATGATAATATATGTTTTGATTGTTGGATACAGTGTTTTGAGATTTAGCAAAAAATGGTGTTAAGTTATTTATATTTAATAAATTAGAAAAAAGCATCCTATGTAGCATATCAGGAGGATAAGAGTTTTCAATTAAAATATTTTTTAACAAATGAAGATCTTCTTGTAAGTAGTCTGGATGAGAAAGTTTTTAAAACACGTTCTTTTTTCTTACTCTTATATATATATATATATATATATATATATATATATATATATATATATATATATATATATATATATATATATATATATATATATATATATATATAAATATCCTTCGTAATTATCGACTATACCATGTTTAACACTACGGAATCGTGTTTGAAATTTTAGGAATGCAATCTGCGGCCTAAATTAATTACATTTATTAACTACATTTGAAAATAAACTACATTTATTTCATTAGTTCGATATTTCGTTGATATTTATTTTTTCAACTTCATCAGGAACATACTACAAAATTAATTACCAATTAGATAAACCTACGATTCACAATATTCTAACTTACCGAATGGCGTAATTTATTAAATTAAAATTACATCAGAGTGACACATGGTATTCTACGAATGAGCAGAAAGGCACTGATTAAGGTCTTTTTTCCACATGTGTTATTAGGCCCAACGAGTTTTATTATCAAACTAGGTAGTTTGATAATAAAATTGATTTTATTATCAAACAAGATTTTTTAGTTTATCAGAAATTTAAAATATTACAGTACATGTCGCTTAACTTGTGTCTGTCTTATAATTAATTGACTTTTTAATTTTGTTTATGTGGTACATTTTGAGAAATATTCTTTTTTATAGCTATTTTCTATATGCAAGATTTTGTCACCTGGTAAATAAATTAAATGTGTGGCCTGGTGTGTTGGAACGGTGTTCTACTGCATAAGATTTTTTTATCCGCGATGTGTACCCTATATATTGTCCATCAAATTCGAGAAAAAACACTAGCAGAAGAACAACAAGGTTTTAGGTCGGTAAGATCATGCACCGACGCTCTATTTATAATGAGGCAAGTTCAAGAGAAATCATTAGAATACAAACACCGGCATATCTATGTTTCGTTGACCTTACGAAGGCATTTGACCGGGTCAAATTAAAAGACGTTATTATCCACTTACTGTATGCAAGAGAGATACCTTTAGGAATAATCAAAACGATCGAAAATATCTACCAAAATAACACAATAAAAGTAAAAGTAGAAGAAGAACTAACCGACCCTATTGAAACTGGGCAATGGGATAAGACAGGGAGATTCTCTGAGTCCTCTATTGTTCAACCTGATTATGGATGAAATAATAAAAAAAGTAAGAACTAAAAAAGAATACCAACTGGGAGAAAAACAACTTAAAATAATCTGCCATGCAGACGACGCAATGCTACTCTCTCAAAGTGATTATGATTTACAACGTATGCTGCACCAATTTAATAGTTTTGTTCGCGGAGACAGTCCCTGACTAGGTTTGGATAAATTTCTGACCGATTTGGGATTAATGTTGTGCGATGGCGCGATTAGTTACTTGTTTTTAACAGCCAATTCTCCGCGAACGATTTCCGGACGTTTCTGACTGTTTCTAACCCCAAAACATCAACCCGTTGTTTTGTTTATATGTACAAAGAGGAACACAGACGTTTGACAAAAATTTACTTATATTGCCTGATATTGCCAAAATGTTTAAGTAAAAAATAGGGTACTAGCACAGATTTATAAACAATTGTAATAATAAGCAATAATAAATGTGGTACTAGTGTAGTAAGACGGAACGATGTCTACGGAGATGATATTTATATCAATGACCCTGAACGTCCAGAATTTCGTATAAATCCTTATAACAATAATTTTTTAATGGTGATAAATATGTGTACTGTTTTTAGTTCCATATTTATAATTCAATAAAATATTAAATGACTTTTTAGTCTTATTTATTAATATCGCTAAAAAGAGAACAGTTTTAGTTATATATTTAGTTATTTATTTAAAGATGTAGAAACGTAAAGATTATAATGCCACGCGCCAACAAAAATAAATAATAGGTTCGTTACTATTACGATTGACAAAAAAAACAAACAAAATATCTGACAATTTACAGTTTCAATAGCGCTTGCGCTAACTAAAAATCCGCACTCTATTCCATGAACCAAATGGACTGATCATGAACTAGTTTGAAACACTCAGCGAACGTCGAACTCTTTGTCAAAGTCACGGATTTTTAACACCGCGAACGCCTGAAAACAGAAATGCGCATGCGAATCAGTCAGAAACCAGTCAGGGACTGTCTCCGCGAACAAAACTAATATAACCACCAGAAAATTTAACATGTTAATTGCCCAAATAAAACAAAATGAATGGTTACAACAGCAAATTTACTAAGATGTAAATTGGAGATGGAAGGTCAAATAGTAGAACAAGTATTGGAGTTTAAAAATCTAGGCATCCCATTATCTAGCTAGGGAAAGCTCTAAACTTAGGTGGAAGATCAAGTGAATAGAGCAAACAGAGCCGCAGGCTGCCTAAATGAAACAATATGAAGAAATATAAATATCGAGAAAGAAATGAAACCCAGAATTTACAAAACAGTTATCAGACCAATAATGACATACGCGTCAGAAACAAGGCCTGAAAAAAGGATGTTATAAACAGCGGAGATGACAACACTTAGCAAAATTGATAG